TCTCTCTCTCTCGCACTTTTTAAAATCGCTCTTGTGACAATTTTCAGATCGGTCCATTCTTTCCCCCGCCACGTCTCACGGGAGAGACGTACGTCGATTTTTTGGAAAATGAGTTGCCTGCCCTTCTCGAAGACGTTCCTCTTCGCGAACGGGAGGAACTCATTTTCCAACATGACGGGGCTCCTGCGCACTTTTCGCGGCAGGCACGCCACGTTTTAGATACGCGCTATCCGGACAGGTGGATGGGTCGAGGTGGCCCAATCATTTGGCCGGCGCGGTCGCCGGATCTTAACGTGCTCGATTATTTCATTTGGGGTCACATCAAAGATTTAGTCGAGCATATACGTAATGGTACTGAAGCTGAGGCACGAGAAGCGATTCTCGCAGCTTTCAATACCATTACACCAGAAATGGCGCACCGCGCGACGCGCAATATTACTCGAAGAGCCGAAATCTGCTTACGAGAGCGAGGAAGGCACTTCGAACAATTCTTGCATTAAAATGCAAGAGTGGATTAGACCTACTGGGGATACGACTTAAAAAAAAATGCGCCATTCTATCTACCGCCAGGTGGTGTGGAAATGATTGTGCTTCATCAATTTTTTTACCAGAAAAATGACAAAAATAGTAATTACTTTTTGATTCGCGAGCCTGCATTACATACCGATTAATATTTCGTGTACGCACATGCAGAAAAATATCATTCTACATGGAAAAAAAATTTTACTTGTTTCGAAAAAAAATTATTTGATTCAAGAAAATAATGTTCTCAAATAGTTCCTAGCAGGCATTTAATTAATTTATGAAACAATTTTTTCGTTACTAGTAAATATTTTTGGTAACCAAGAAATTGCTTTTTAAAATAAAAATTATATTTTATAAAAAGTAATCAATGTAGAATTTCTAATACTCATGTCATAAATTTAAGAAAGATGTTCTCTTATTAAGAACAATCAGATTCAAGTAATGACATATTTATTAGATTTAATAAAACAATTTTCTACCGACAAATAATTGTGTTTTTATTAGAATACAATATTTTCTTCATTGATAAATTATTTGCTTCAGGATAATGTTTTACTGAAACAAATAACAAATTTATTGCGGCAAGTAATTAATTCTTTCAATCAATACGGTTTAAGAAAATGTGTTTACTTGAAACAAGTAAATTTTTTTTCCGTGTAGTGCTAATGAGAAAAGACGCAAGTTTTATTCTTGTTCTTTTGAGTAACGATTATCTTGACAAAGAATATTTTCTTGATAATACAAGGTGTTTGATAATTGTCGGGCCGACAACGCTCGTGGACAGGCAGAGCAGACTAAACTGAGTCGACAAGCTCTGTACCATTTGCAATTTTCGCGATAGTTAACAAGATATTAATTACTAAATATCGCCAAATATTGGTTTTCCAGAACTTTTTACTCAAATACTTTCAACTTTACA